TCTCTCTCTCTCTCTCTCTCTCTCTCTCTCTCTCTCTCTCTCTCTCTCTCTCTCTCTCTCTCTCTCTCTCGCGCGCGCGCGCGCGCGCGCGCCCTAATTCAGATCGGGAAACGAAATGTGGAGTAAATTGGGAAAATAACGAAAAATGAAATGATCGGGAACAAATAAGGGAGGCAGGACGGAGGAGGGGCAGGAGGAAGGTGGGAGGGAAGAGGGAGGGAAGAGGGAGGGAAGAGGGAGGGAAAAACGAGGGAGGAAGGACGGTGAGCCAAGGGGGGAAGAAGGAGCGGGGTCTGGGGAGAAGGGCCAAGGCAGGAGCGGAGGGAGGGAGGAGAATAGGCCGAGGGAGTAGAAATGGTGACGGTGCCTCTGGTGCCCTCTCTCTCTCTCTCTCTCTCTCTCTCTCTCTCTCTCTCTCTCTCTCTCTCTCTCTCTCTCTCTCTCTCTCTGTGAACCAAAAACGAAATACGGCGTCTACATCGATTGGTGGGAAAAAGAAAGACGAAATGCGCCCTCTAGGTCGGGCGCGTAGGGAGGAAGGATGGAGGAAGGGGGGAGGGAGGAGGGAGGGCCGAGGGAGGAAGGGCCATCGGAGGAAGGAGGGAGGGCCGAGGGAGGAAGGGCCATGGGAGGAAGGAGGGTTGAGGAGGAAAGGCTAAGGGAGGAAGGAGGGAGGGAGGAGGGCGGGGAATGTGAGGAAGGAGGGAGGGAGGAGAGAGGGTCGAGGATGAAGGGCGGAGGGAGGAAGGAGGGAGGGAGGAGAGAGGGAGGAGGGAACGAGGAGCTCGAGCGGAGAAAGGAAGGGGAGGGAGGAAACAGGGCGGACGGAGAGCGGAGGTGGTCAGCGAAGGAGGTGGTCAGGTGGAGATCAGGCAGAGGGAAGAAGGAAAGAGGCCGGAGGGAGGGAGGAGGTCAAAGAACCGGAGACTCACTTGAATCAGCCATGCCGACGAAGCCTCCAGCCGACAACGATCAAAGAATAACGCTCAACCAACAACGCGCAAGCCTTCGGTAATGATTTAGCCCAGCCGTCCGAGTTCCACAAAAGGAGACAATGCCTTAAGCCCACGGGAGACAGTGCCTCAAGCCGGTTCTTTGACCTCCTCCCGACGTTGCAGTCACGTCGAAGTTCACGTAGCAGCAAGTTCACGAAGCACTTAACACTGAACTCAATCACATAGCTTACACTTACGTCGCCAGCACCGATGCAGGGAGTAGCACGACGCACGTGCAATGTGGCACAAATTCAGGAAGCACCAAGAAAGCAGGTAGCACGGACTTCACGAAGCACCAAGCACAGAGAACGTAGCACAGAGAAGAAAAAGGGTAGAGAAAAGACAGCGAGAGAGAGAGAAGAGAGAGAAGGGGGAGAGAGAACCCCGATTTACGTCGCCAGCATCGATGGACGAAGCACGTAGATAGTAGCACGGAGGATGTAGCGCCACGCAAGTAGAATATAGCACCAATTCACGAAGCGCCAAGTTCACGAAAGCACGTCGCACGAATTTCACGAAGCATAAAACACGTTGCACGTAGCAAGAGAAGCAAGAGAGAGAGAGGAGAGGAGAAAAAGAGAGCTCCAATTTGATTCGGCAGAACCAATCCACGAAGCACGTAGCACCTTGCACGGTAGGTCGCGTCGGCAGAACAGCACGGCGCGTCGAGCATTGTAGGTCGCGTGTGTGTGTGTGTGTGTGTGTGKGAGAGAGAGAGAGAGAAAAGGGCCGGGGGGGGGCGGGGGGCAAGGGGGAGGGCAGGCGGTAGACTACACCTACACGTTGCCGGCCGTGCACGACAGGGCGCGAAGACAAATGCGACCGTGTACGACGAAGGTATCTGTTATCTTAGCGGGAATTCTTATGGTTTTTAAAGCCTGAGATCTGGGCCGTTGGGCGCGAGGTACCGGGCCGAGGGCCTGGCCGTCGGCCGGTAAGACCCAACGGGCCAGATTGCAGACAAGTTACATGGTTCCGACGATCCGGGCCGTGGGCCCGTGGGACTGACGACGGCTCGGATCCTGGGTAGTAACACAGGGATTTGTCTTTCGTATGTCAATGCCTCGGAACACCGCCCTCCGTTAGCTAATTGGTAGTGCAACGGACAAAGCCCTCCTGACTCCAAACACCCCCGCTTTGGCTAATCCATCATCACGTGCGGCCAGACCCCACATGAACTAGATGAACGGGGGGGGGAAAAGCGAAGAGGGGTCGGAGCGGTGGTCGGAGCGCTAATTTTAGCGCTAATGCGAGCGCTAACTCGCCGCTTCGGTTCAGCGTTAACAGCTACTAGGGCACGGACTAGGGAAGGGTTCAAGCAGGGGAGGAGGGGGGAGGTGGCGAGTGATGGTTCTCCAGTTTATTATAGAGCTGACTATGGTGGTAGTCGCCTCGCCAGCATAACCCATCCTATTCTCCATAGGAAGAAGAGGTGTCACGAAGGTCATTAGTGGTTGTAAGAACGTCTTCCAGAGGGGAACACAGGGTTGCTCCATGACTCCAAGGCTTAACCAAGCCCTGTCGGCACTTTCAGGGACCCAGAGACGCTGCTACCTATGAACGCTCTTAAGATCAGCAGTTGGCAGGTGAGACCAGGACAGCCGACGAAGTGAGTTTAGGTTGACGACATCGCGGATAGATGTCGTCATGAGGGATGATAGGTAAGCACTGAGGGTTGGTGAAGATACATAACTGAGTCCAGTTTGGAAGCCCGTACGGTCTGATTTGGAGTAAACAATTAATCTTATCTATATATTTGTTTTTTCTTGGTTTTATTGTACTAACATCACCCACGAGCCTTATAATGGAGAATATGATAGAGGCACCCTCGTCCTCGTTCCCACCCGATGATGCAGAAAGAATCCGGATCCATGAAATCTTGATGAATTGTTTTAACAATGGAATCCTACCATCTAAGCTAGCTCCCAGTACTGTAACGGAAGGAGAGGACAATGTCAAAGTGGTAGTGATGATATTGCACGTTTCCAGGCGGATTGGTTGAAGAAACACGCAGTTTCGGTATTTTTTAACCACGAAACCTCCTCCCTTCCGCCGGGGGTCAAGAGTCGTTTGATTCGGATTTACGAGGGTGGGTGGGGAGCTTCAGGGGAAACCGGGGCCCCTCCCAAAAAGGGAGTAATTCGAAACGAGACCTCCCAAGAGGGGAGTAATTCGAAACGAGGGTCGGAATTTGATCACATATGTGGCCTCGGCTAAGCAGATTGCCAGTTGGATGCTCATGAAGAAGGAGAGTAAAGTTACGTTAGATAATGAAACCATACAGTGTACTTCAGGCCTTGGATGTCGGAACACCAACTTTTGATATGGAGGGATTTAATGAACCATGATTTTTTCTGGTTCCGGTGTTTGGACGTTCCAGTGTCCGTCATGGGCCTATTAAAAGGCGCTGTAGAGGATGCTTTCGGTTCAATAATTAGAGATTATGCCCCGTTCAAGTTTCCAGTGACCCCGGATTTGAGAGACCTCTGCTTTGACTTGGCTCTTCCGGCAAAAGCGCGATATAAATAGCGACTCATCGTTGACCTGTGGAAATTCGGATCCATGGATATTCAAGTGGCCTGCAGCGACACACCATGGTGTGCCGCATGCAAACGTTATTTCCATAAGTCCACGGATGATACCTGTCCGAAGAAGAAAAAAGAGCCTAGGAAAGATCAGAAAGCGG